CACATGCTAGTGACTCACCAGTGGTTGTCCCCGCTGATGATGAAGCATCCACCACATGACATGAGGTGGCTCGTCTCGAGGGGCCTCAAACACAAGATGCCTATCCTCTCGAAGGCGATTTTGAGACCACCAGCGTTAGTCCATTGGATGGCGCTGAGGACCCTTCAGGTATTCCATATTCACCCATCCTTTCATTTCTTCTAACTTAGAGCCTCTTAATGCTCCAGTTTTTCCTTCCTTTTCAAGTCCTTTTGCAAAGGATCCCACAGCCATGGGGACAGATGTCTATGACATAGCTGAGGACGTCAAGCTCCTTCTCCCTACCGTCACGACAGTCTTTGAAAAAATGGACCAAGTCCACCAAGACATGCCCTTCAAGGAAGACCTTGCCAACGACCTATCTGCTGTCAAAGCTGAGGTCTGTGAGGTGAATGACATGCTGAAGATGGTAAAAGTCGAAGTGTACACCAACACTGAGGCGATCAACGCTTTAAATAGGAAGGCTGATGAAGTGCAAGTCCAACTCTCTAGGCATGGCGAGCTCCTCGAGCAGATTCTGATGCTTCTACGGCGTCCGACCTCACTCCCTGAATCTTCTTTCACCTATACTGATTGCCAATTCCTAGATCGAGTGGCCGAGTTTAACCCGTTGCAAGCCGAGGCCCTCTCAAACCTCGAGCTTTACATTGAAGACCTGTCGTAGTGTCTTAATGACTTCGCCTCTTCTATTGCTGATGACAAAAAGGGGAAGAAAGACCTGCCTGAGGAAATTGCTGAGGAAGCTGAAGCTGAAGCCGCTAAGACTGAAGCTGCCCCTCAAGCTGTCATCTCTCAAACTAAGGGTGCCATCACATTCAGCAAAACTGAAGCTGATGTTGAAGCTCAGGATGATGATGATGGATGATGATGATGTTGTTATAGCTCCAACGATTGATGAAGACCTTCCCATCTTCTCTACATTAAATACTAGTGATGAGAATAATGACGAAAAAAGATGAGGATGATGAAGATCTTCCTCTCCCTGATACTGAACACGGTCTTGGTGATGATGATGAAGACGACGACGATGATGACAACTTCATGATTTAGTATCACTCAAGACTAGCATCAGCACAGAAGGGCGTCTCCCTAAGGGAATCTTCATCCCAGGGGGAGAAATCTAAAGGGAACCAACACACCACCAGCAAAAACAAAGGTTTGGCTGAAAAGGGCAATTTTTCTTTCATATTCAAGAAGATATATCACACCATGATCACCCAAAGCTCTATGTTTTTTCCTTTCACATCTGAATCTGAAGCCTCCCTTCTCCAAAATTCTTCTTTGATCCCATTGGTCCTCTAGATGAAAGGATTCTTTCTATTCCAACATCTGGAGCTCTTTCTGACTAAAGGATGACTCAGCTGAGGAGTCAAGTTGACTAAACGAGAGTAAATATCCCTCTTCATACCTCTAGTTGTGGTGAGTTTCACTTTCTCACAGATGCTGAATGTGAGGAAGAACTCAAGGCCGAAGAAGAGTTGTGCATACAAAAACAGCAGATAGAAGACAGCTTAAAGCTGATGAAGTCTCTAGCCGCCAAAGCTCTGGCCAAAGGGAAGCTGAAGAAGAAAGACATGGTCAAGGCCGAGGCCCAGCTGCTCTCCCAAGCTTGATGTTTACATCAAATAACGCTGATGCTGAAAGACTGTGACTAGAGATGGTGTGAAGAAAGAATGAAGAAAAGAGTAAGTGCCCATATGATTTCAAACATTACCATCAATGAACGAATGAAGGATGGTGGATTTCTCATCTCCATGGTCATCTCTAGATATAATCTTGAGGCTGTCACCGGGTATCATTTGTATCTTGGGCGGTATAGCTACGATGAATGCTGGAGATTCGACAAGCCATTCAACGTTCAAAGTCCAAGCACCGGCCAATAATCGAAGATATCCAGAATGAACTCTTCAAGAAGGTTTCAAAGTTTGTTGCTGTCCCTCCACTGCCTGAGAAGCTGCCTACAAGAAGAAGACACCTTTCAGATCCTAATGATGGACCTTCTCATAGGAATGAACATGAAACAAAGTTCTCCTTAGATGAAATCCTAAAGGATCGAAAGAAGCCAGATACCTCAAAGCTAAATCTGACACTACTAGCGAAGGGTCCTTACATACCAAACACTGTGCATGTGAAGCCTAAGTATGGATTAATTTTCATCGACTATGATGGCGAATATAGTTTCCAGCGTGTATCTGAGTTCCAACTCTGTCCAATAAACCACCTTGAGTATCTCAAATCTTGATTGGACAATGACCTACCTGGTGAGTAATGAACCGCAGGATCAGAAAGGAGCTACTACGAATAAAGAAGCTTGGAGAAGACGTATGAGGGTACATTGACTTCAGCGACTTAGAATAATTAACTTTCTATCTTGTAATCTTGTTTTCCTTTCATTTCTTTCAGTGTATAATATATATGTAATAAATATAGAAATCATTGATGTAACACTTGTAATTTTTCCAATGATAAAATACAATGATATCTTTAGTGTCACTGAAAAAGATCCCTAAAAATAGTTGTGGGACAAGTATCTATGAGTTCTACTTCTCATTCATTCACTGACAACTTTCAGTCAGTGCATATGCTTGTAGTGTCATTTATCATATTTTTTTGTCTCTTAATCATTTACAAACTTAAGTAAACTTACATAAGTAAACTGTATCACTAAAAGAGATATCAATTTAGTTAAAAGGGACTTGTATTTTACTTGTACCTTTTCCTTACTATTATAACTTAGGAAATTTTCTTTATGCTACTTTGTCATCATCAAATAGGGGAGATTGTTGATTCTCTCTCTCATTGATTTGATGATGATCCCTTTTACCTTACGAAGTATAGTATTTATGTTATTCAATTTCAACGATCATCACTGAGTTTGTTCTGTGATCGCTGAACATGTATTGTAATCCCCTTAGAGACTGTTATACTTCAAGAAGACAAAACTCACACCATAGATTCTTCAGCATTGTCGAAGACAGAAGTTGAAGATTAGAGACTAGCAAGTTTGTGATCTGAAGCGGCATTCAGTGATTACAAGCTCGTCTACATATGTGTGAAGTTTGCACAAGTTTCAAGGAATACTGAAGAGACCTTTCAGCGTCTTCCCAGTATTCAGCGATCAAAAGAAACTTACCAAGCACAATTGTTTTTGTCTTCTCCTCCTCCCATAATGAACAAACCTATACATTTTCTAGAGTATAGTACAGTACGAAGCCACTTTGTTGACTCTATATTGCTTACCTACTTGATGAAAAGAGGACTACTCATATACAACCAAAAGAACTATTTATTGTAGCAAAGGACAAGCTTTCCTCCAAAAGCTTGACACGTGCTTTGTACCTTCTAAATTGCATTTAATGCAATGGGTATAAATAACAGAGTGCTCTCCTCTCAGTTATCAATCTTCCTTTTTACTAACTTACACAAGAGGTTACTTCTCTCTCTATTCTCTATTTAAGAGAAAGAAACACTTTGAAGAAGTGAAGAACACTTTGATTTTTATCTTTATTTCTTGTAGCAAATCTTTTTTCTTTGGTATTTGTAATTGTGTGACCCTTAAATTGTTTAGATAGGTTCTTTACCTTATATCTTCCTCAAACAATCTGTAAAATTTGTATTGATCTTCTTTATCAATATATAATTTTTAAAAGTGAAAGTTTATGTGCTTGTATTCATTCCCCCCTTCTACAAACTAATTTTATATAACTTTTGTAGATCCGACTGGGACCAACACATAAAGTTCTAGGTCAAGACCTTCATAGAAGTTTCCGCTGGGGATATTCGTCGCTAATGAGAGTAGGTGGTTTGGTGAGGGATCCAACACTATACATTGAATTTCAGGATTGATTTGACATTTTCAGAAAGAAGATGGTAAAACAGAAAACTTGAGGTTTTGGAGTGCATAAAATGAACTTGACGAACACAACCTTGGAGAATAGATCTTTACTTTCACTGGCATTTTCAATAGGACCAAGACTGCTCGTTGATTTACTTAGCCTACATCTGTGTTCGAACTCCGTCTTAAATAACATTGAATTGAACCACCTTGGTTAAACCTTGGAAATCTTAATGCCATAATGCCTTTCAAATCCTCCTAGCCATTATCCTACTGCAATAATTCTTACTAAGAAGAACACCAATGTCGTGGCAATTCCACCCAGAAGGTAATGGGTAGACTAAATGGATACTGCCAGGAGATAGAGTCAAAATTGAAGTAAGTCGTTATGATTCAACCAGATGCCGTATAATTTATCGACCCCGAAACAAAGATTCGAAATATTAGGTGTTTTTTCAAGTTCACTATTTCTTTCGTAGGAATATGATTCGAAATGGAAATTTTCAAGAAACTTAATTTCTTCCAAGAAGTGGATTCAAAATTAAAGTAAGGAGTGGTAAATATGAAAATAAGAGCTTATGTTCGTAAACTTTGTGAGATAATAGGTAGGAGCATAAACTTAAACATTCCAGAGCTACAAAGATAGTTATTAAATTGTTGGCACCGCACAAAAACATTCCTCCTATAGTAGTTGTTAATACGAATAAGAGAAACTCTGTTACAAGCATTTCTGTACATTCAATGTGCTCTACGCATAGAGGAATACATAGAGTTGAACATAGTAAAATACGAAATTGAAAGATTTCGTTGAAATTGTTCGTTTGGAAATTTCCCAAAAAGCTAATCATAGGTTCCTCTCTCCAGTGGAACAATAGGGCTGTTATGCTCATTACTAAACTTGTTGAAGAGATAAAATATAAACAAGGTATAACTTTTTGATCATAGGTTGAATCGATCATCAAAAGAAGAATTAGGCCAAAAATTAGGATACATTCTGGGAAAATCAAACTTCCATCGAAGAGAACCAATATTCTTTATCTGCCGATCTATTCAATGTTGGAATCCGACCTGCTATTAATGTGGATATCTCTGTTTCCAGAGTAGGGTCTGCAGCTCAAATTAAAGAATGAAACAAGTAGCCGGTAAAATAAAATTGGAACTGGCACAATTCGCAGAATTAGAAGCTTTTGCACAATTTGCTTCTAATCTCGATAAAGCTACTCATAATCAATTGGCAAGAGGTCAATGCTTATGTGAATTGCTTAAACAATCCCAATCCGCCCCTCTCGTGGTAGAAGAACTAATACTGACTATTTATACCGGAACAAACGCTTATCTCGATTCATTAGAAATTGGACAGGTAAGGAAATTCCTTGTTGAGTTACCTACTTACTTAAAAACTAATAAAACGTAGTTTCAAGAAATAATATTTTCTACCAAGACATTCACCAAGGAAGCAAAAGTCATTTTGAAAGAAGCTATTCAGGAACATATGAGGCGCTTTGACATCTTCTTAACCCGAAATGGCTGGGGAGTGCAAAGGTTCCTTTTTTTGAGGGTACTCCCGGGAACAAATCCAATGGAGACGGAGTAGGGCTTGTGGCTCAGAGGATTAGAGCACGTGGCTATGAACCACAGTGTCGGGGGTTCGAATCCCTCCTCGCCCATTTCGGCGCGGGTCGTGAGAGCGGTACCAAATAGAGGCAAACTCTGAATACTAGATATGACCTCAAAATAACAGGGGTCAAGGGGGGCCAGTGAATCGATGGGGGATAAGCTTCATCGTCGAGAGGAAAATTGCCAGATCACTAGCTAAGGCCCTTAAATGATCGTTCAGTGATAAAGGAGGTAGGGGTGCAGAGATAGCAAGGAGGTTTGCCTAGAAGCAGCCACCCTTGAAAGAGTGCGTAATAGCTCACTGATCGAGCGCTCTTGCGTCAAAGATGAACGGGCTTCTATATTTGTGCGAATAAAATGCTTAGTCAATTCCATGCGTCTAAGCAAAAAATCTTTTCTTCTTCCATCCTAGGCACCCAAAGACGAGGAAGGGCGTAGTAAGCGATGAAATGCTTCAGGGAGTTGAAAATAAGCATAGATCTGGATCTTCCCGAATAGGTTAACCTTTCAAACTGCTGCTGAATCCATGGGGCAAGAGACAACCTGGCGAACTAAAACATCTTAGTAGCCAGAGGAAAAAAAGAAAAAATAAGAGAATTTGGATAAGAGCAATAGTTAGTTATTCAATATAACTAAAAAGGTATGTAATAAAAATAGGATTGTAATCGATGAATCGTGAAAGGAAACACGCCCAGAAAGGAAACTAGATGGTTTGACCAAAAGCAATTCTTACTTTAACTGAACAGTTATGAAGGACTTAACAATTTCAAGTCGAATTGACTAATACGACATATTTTCCACATTCATTGGAGTGCATCTATGTTTCTGCTATACGAATATGATATTTTTTGGGCATTTTTAATATCAAGTCTTATTCCTATTTTGGTATTTTTCATTTTGGAAGTTTTAGCTCCGATTAGCGAAGGACCAAAGAAACTTTCTAGTTATGAATCGGGTATAGAACCAATATGCGACGCCCGGGTGACTGTTTACCAAAAACACAAGTCTCCGGAAAGTTGTAAGACCATGTATGGGGGTTGACGCCTGCCCAGTGCCGGAAGGTCAAGGAAGTTGGTGACCTGATGACAGGGGAGCCGGCGACCGAATCCCCGGTGAACGGCGACCATAACTATAACGGTACTAAGGTAACGAAATTCCTTGTCGGGTAAGTTCCGACCCGCACGAAAGGCGTAACGATCTGAGCACTGTCTCGGAGAGAGGCTCGGTGAAATAAACATGTCTGTGAAGAGGCGGACTACCTGCACCTGGACAGAAAGACCCTATGAAGCTTCACTATTCCCTGGGATTGGCTTTGGGCCTTTTTTGCGCAGCTTAGGTGGAAGGCGAAAAAGGCTTCCTTCCGGGGGGTCCGAGCCATCAGTGAGATACCACTCTGGAAGAGCTAGAATTCTAACCTTGTTTCAGGACGTACGGGCTGTAACGCGTTGGGATTATTTAACTACTATGTTCACAGAAGCAATAATTGTAAATGCACCAGAGCAATTAAGCAATATTCAAGTGCCTAAAAGGGCCAGTTATATCARAGTCATTATGTTGGAGTTAAGTCGGATAGCTTCAAATTTGTTATGGCTCGGGCCTTTTATGGCAGATATTGGGGCACAAACTCCTTTTTTCTATATTTTTCGAGAAAGAGAATTGATATATGACCTATTCGAAGCTGCCACCGGTATGCGAATGATGCACAATTTCTTTCGTATTGGAGGAGTCACTACTGATTTACTAATACTTGTTATTTGTTGATGTAAAAGAATGTCYCATTCAATAGAAAATTATTTAATTTAAAATAATATATTTCTCGCCATTATGAGTTTAGGGCTAGAAACTTGAGGAAAAGTTGTATGGGTTCACAAAGACTTTCTCAAGAGAAACCGAAAAAGAGATATCGAATTAGTTTTGAGGATTCAAGAATGTTATTACTTGAATTCGAAGTTCGTAGTTACTTCGACTAGATGAATCATAGCAATTGAATAATTAAGTCATTTCATTGGTTGGATGTACTATTAACCATTTTTTTTGGTACGAGGAACTTATCATGAATCCACTGATTTATGCCGCTTCCGTTATTGCTGCTAGATTGGCTGTAGGGCAACTAACTATTTGCATCTTGACAATTTAAAACAGATTTTTCAAATACTTAAATATTATTTACTTGATGAAAATGGTAAAATTTATAATCCCTATACATGCAGTAACATCATTTCGAATGTATTCAATTTGAATTGGTATTTTCTCCATTCCAATTATTGTGAAGAGACATCTACAATTGTTAGTCAACACGACCCAGACTACTATAGGAGGCAGTAGTGGGGAATTTTCCGCAATGGGAGATCTTTTTAATCCAATCCATATAATGTCTTTTTCGGGAGCCAGAGGAAATGCATCTCAGGTACATCAATTAGTAGATATGAGAGGATTAATGTTGGATCCCCAAGGGCAAATGATTGATTTACCCATTCAAAGAAATTTACACAAAGGACTCTCTTTTTCAATAAAATAAAAAGAGTGCTCAAGCGTTTTGGATTCAAATCATTCAAAATTTATTTTTGATACCGAAATCTAAAAGAATATCTGGAAAAAAACTGCGTCCAATAGGATTCCCAATACACCCAATGCCAGATAGCTGCCAAAAAGCACAACCTAGAAAACACAATATGCGCTCCAGCCACACCTTCGTAACTCCAAATACCCGGATTTGTTATAGTCCCCACCGTGATACTCCAACCGCCCCCATGAATTGGTTATTCCTAAACGATTCATGAAGGGTATAACGAACATACCATGTCTCCACATTGTATCAAGAACAGGGTCAGAGGGATCAAAAACTGCTAAGTCATACAGGGCCATTGAACCGGCCCAACCAGCAACCATATATGTATGCATTATATGAACCGAAAGCAACCATCCGGGATCATTCAATACAACGTTATGAACACGATACCAAGTCATCAAGGAAGACCTAAGGTAGGTTATAGAAAAAAAGGATAAATAAAGGAATTTTGGATTGGGTCGAGAATCTAATCTTGGATTCGGTATGGATAAAAGTAGAAATTTTCGGGATCAATGGTTGGACCATGCAAACTAGAAATACTTTTTCTTGGATAAAGGAACAAATTTCTCTTTATCGAGGAATAGACGAAGCCGTACAGGGGTTTTGGCAGGGCTTTTGTAATTCTATGCTACCAGTGGGAATGTGAGTCTCGCCGGTTTAACTAGGACTATAATTGCGGAATTTCTACGCGAATCAAKATCTAGAAAAGGAAGTTTTCCAATCATTGACTCAAACCCATTGTCAAATTCTACTCAGCGCAATTACATCAAAAGCTTATTACACGGAATCCCATTTTTTAGAAAGAGTTGAAGGAGTAGGCATTATTGGTGGAGAGGAGGCAATAAATTGGGTTTTGTCAGGAGCAATGCTACGAGCTTCCGGAATACAATGGGATCTTTGTATGTCTTAACGAGTGGAGATCGTCGGGGTATTTGTCTAAATAGGTATAATCCATGTAACCGTAGAAACTATCAAAATGAAGATAATAACTATAAGTATACACAAAAAAAAGAACCCTTTTTTGTGATACCTATGATGTAATTGGAGCTTACTGGCAACAAATATTTCTGGGAGGGGTTATTCGTCTTCCTAGTCTTCGACACACGAAAAGGGTGTGAAAAATTCTTTTCTTGTGTCGAAATAATAATGATTCGTGATACTGTTTGTTAAAGATTCCTAGTGTTAGTTTCAATTTTTTACAGACGTATCAGAACGTTTTTTAGAGTTATTACCTATTTTAGTTATTATTATAATTATATTATTTTACAATAATTACGTATACTATAAATATAAAATAAAAAGTGGTGGACAAACAAAAGAAGAGGGGAAAATATGTTGAGTAAATAGAACTTCTTTAATGAACTTATAAAAAAATCTTCTAATTATTAAGAACTCAAGGAGACCTTCTCCCTCAAATTAGACAAACAAAGAAGGGAATCCGTTGAGTTCTTACGCTTTCATGTCTACAACTCAATTCATCCGATTACTACAGGGATGAACCCAATCCGGAATTCAAATACTTTTATCTTCACATAAATAAATGAGATCTACAGATTTTCATAGGAAAGCAGTGATCAAGAGTGAAAACCGATTTCGATGAAGACAAAATAACCAAGCAAAAGAGGATATCCTTTATGGATTAATCCGACTAATCAATAGATCGATTAGTAGGCTCTGATACCAATTGAAGGAAGTCGGATCCTCAAATGCACTAGTAATCAAAGCTTAAGTCAACAAGTGAGCGGAAGCAGTTGGCCGATGACCCCTCATCGAACACCACTTATCCGGACAACACTATTCGCACAAACCTTGAAAGATGACAAACATACTCACTGGTCACCCACTCTCCGGATACACTCTCATCGGACAGCACACTCTCCGGATATAGTCCTCAAAAGTCAACACTTAGCAATAATAATAATCTGACTCAGGCTTTGTTCGATGAGCATCCTCACTGGACAAGGTTTGTCTGATAACCACTTCAAACCGGTCATCACTTAGATAAAATTAAACGGTTAAAGCTTCATCCGATGAGAAGCCTCACCGGATAAGGCTTGCTCGATAACAACTCCAATGCGGCCAACACTTAATATTAAACTCAAACGACACTTAAGCGATAAGAATATAAAACTGAATACTCATGTCCGATAAGGATCTTCATCGGACAACACTTCATTCGGTAAAGACCTCATCGGTCAACACATAAAAACCACCAAACTCCTCGCCGGTTAAGGCTTGGCTGGTAAGGACCCTCACCGGACAGTACCATGTCCGATTACAAGTCCTTATCGGTTAATGAATTTTATAAGAACATGAAACCAATACTCATACAACAGCAGCATAAAGTATGTAAAACTAGCAATTCTTAACAAATTCAAAAGCTATTTTTTTGTAAAGTAAAATTAACCTTTATGCAGGTTTTGAATTTGAAAGAAGATGAATTATGAACACACACTGCTTTAACTTTGATTCTCAGACCCACTTCCAAATATAGCAAGCAATACACACAATTCTCTCTCATTGATTTCTTTCCAAAAATAGCAGAAAGATTTTTCCTTTTAAACTTTCCCCCATTTATACCTGCCTTGAGGAAGGCGGTTTTGGAAAACAATATAAATTTTTTTTCTTCTCAACCACATGTACATAGACACATGCCTATTTTCCTCCATTACCCCCATGCATGATACATATACATATGAAATACCCACATCATGCATATCAACTTCCATACACATGTAAAAGCCATGCACACATACACTTTCATGCATAGATACATATAAACACATGCATACAACGATTCATGAATATCCTCTATGCATGCATGCACGTATAAAATATGCACATAGACCACCTCATGCATGTATTTACATAACACATGAATAAATCACATACTCACGTAAGCATAAAATCACATAACAATTACCTCAGGTGGATAACCAGGACCGGTTTATCACAAATTATTTTCAATGTGTCCAGAAAAACAAATTTGAATACAAACGAGCGTATAATCACCGAAAACGAATTTTGCAATTTAAAGACGTGATAATAACAATTTGAAGAACAGTTGAATGAGGCATTACAATTATGTAAAAAGAGAAAATATGCAAATATTAACTCAATGAAATACCTAATCAAACAAAGTACTCGTTACAAAAAAAATCATTTGAAATCGCACTTTTGAGAATAGTAAAATCATTTTGAGTTTAAAGAAGTGGTTTGAACATTTGAAAACATTTTAATAAACCTAGAAATTTTCCTTCGTCTAAGCATATTGAGATTTAGAGTTCAGAAATATATACCTGAGATTCATATCAGAATGAAATTTAGATCGTGATTCTCCCCTTTGAATTTAGCTCATACAAAAAAAAAGTTAGAATTTTAAAGGCTCCCATTTGACATGTTCAAAGGATTATCTCTTGTCTTGTATACAATATAAAGGATGAACATCAGTATGATTATTCTGATCATCATACTCATCATGAACAACTAGTATTTTTGACGATTGTAGCTTGAGTCCTAAATTGTCTTGTTCAGAAGTCATAACAATGAAGAACAATTTCTAAGCTGAATTGTTTAGAAGCTACACTTAAATTAGAGTTCTGGAATGATTTATCTAAGTATCTGCAACACTGAGAACCAAGTTCTAGACTAAGTTATCTAGAAATCTGCAACACTGAGAACCAAGTTCTAAACTGGGTTATCCAGAAATCTGCAACACTAGGAACCGAGTTCTAGACTGAGTTATCTAGAAAACTGCACAAGGGAACATCTGGGTTAGTATCAAACAAATTAGTAGATATAACTTTAACGTGCTATTCATACCTTTTCTTCGGAACCCATTTCCAAACAAACTTCACATCCACAAAGTGTGGTTCTTCTTTCTTTTGAAAGAAAATTGTGAAAGATTTTTCTTTGAAGCACAAGAACCATTTGCAGCTTTAGATTTATGAGGAGAAGACAGAATCAGATTTGAACTTCTTAGACCTGATCTGCTCTTTGCATTTAGCATTAATAGTGAAAGAATTGTAACCACGGTAATCGCAATGCAAATATTTTGGAGCTCAAGAAAGTATATATGAGTGAGTAAAATGTTATGAATTTTTTAATTCAGAATTCAAATTACATTTCCTCTTAGAGAATAAAGCACATTTGCAACTATTAGGCTTAGCTTTTGAATTCTTTACAGAAGAACATATTTTGAAAGAATTAGCACTTTTCTTCTGTAAGTCATCTTTCTTTCTCCATTCATAGCCATTTTTCAATCTAGCTTTCACTTTTGCCACAAATATGAAATTCAAATTCACAGAAGATTTGACAGTCAAGCACCCAGACTTTTCAGATTTCAGAGAAATCTCAAAATCGTTTTTAGATTTTAAGCTTGAAGACTCTCAAACTTCAAAAACACTTTCAGAAAGATTGATTTTATCAATAACAGTGGAATCAATCTAAAGAATCACTGAATATTTCAAATCTGGACTTGAAAGGCTTCTTGATAACCCCCTCAAGCTTCATCATTTGACTCATAAACTTGGTTCGCTCATCAAAATTGGAATTTAAATCCTTCTCGAGATCATGAATCTTTTGTAAGTTTGACTCATGCAATTTCTCTTTACAAACCAAATGGATGGTCAGTTCAAAATTTTCATCATTAAGCCTTTTAAGTTTAAGCGAAAATTCATTTTGAGCTTGTTCCATGGATCTCTTCTCAGATTTTAACTCCGCCTCAAACTCAGAAATTTGCCTCTCTAAAGCAAATTTTTTAACATTTGAGCCAAATTCAAGATTAGAATCATTTTGGTCAATATTATTTTCAGTCAAATCAAAATCATAAATCACCTTTGATTCTGAACCAGGGTCTGATTCATTGAGAAACTTTTTCGAAATCATCAAACATAAAAAGATTCTTCATTTTGTGAAACAGATTTTGAAGAAAAGTTAAAAATTTCAGTGGGATAAAATGTATCAACTTCAGATTGAGAAAATTCAAGTTTTCTAGTTGCATAACTAGAGTTCAAATCATCATATTTTAATCCTATAGTTTTGAAATTCGGTGTTTCAAAACTTTCTTCATCTGATTTGCTCATATCACATTTTGAAGATAAGGTGATTCAGATTTCGATTTAACAAAAATTTGTTGAACAGAAAGAAATAAAAAAAATTTGCAGTCCCCCTTTGATTTAAAACATACAAAGATTTTGGAGCCTTTTTCAAAAAATCAGACTCAATAAATCCTAAACCCATTTTTTGGATTATAAAGCCTTGTGTCCTTGGGTTTATGCATCAAAATTTTCAGAGTATACTTATATTGACTTCTTTTGAAATTTAATTCTGTGACACCCCATACACATTTGCATATAACATGTATTTCATATAAAAGAAATACATATTACACCACATAGGTCCTACTAGTACAAGAAAACTTATGTTACAGAAATCTACAACTCAAAAATTCCAAACTATAGTTCTTGCACTAACACATGGATCACAACATGTATCTTCAAAATACATCAATGAGCAGATTGATCTTCAATAACAGCTGATAACCATATAAGGAAAATAATCATATTTTCTCCTTTCCCTTGTTATCCCGAGACCCTGCTGATCCTGCAATGCATATTTTAAAACACAAAATGAGGGTTAGACTAGAAGGTCTAGTGAGGTAACCCGTTCTTTGTAATTATAGGGTGAAGATCACCAAAATCGGTTAAAATCGTATTTGTAATCAAACAAATACATAAACCCTTGTTATAAATTTCTCAACTCCTCGCAGCACACTATGCGAGACCATCCAGAACCCCCTCTGTCTCATAAGGACCAGAGCCCCCCTTTGGTTCAACAACCAGAGCTCCCTTTGGTTCAACAACCAGAGCAGAGTCACATAAATTGATACGTTGATACAAAATCAAATTC